TTAATGGCGATGAGTCATACGGAAGCCGACGTGGATTATTGGAGGATCGTCAGGACCGATTAGTTCCCTTAATAAATGCAAAATTTATTTACGAGCAACGAATAAATCATTAAAATTTATTTGTTTTAAAGTGCAAGCAATGTAGTATGTAATGTAGTAGTATGATGTGTAATAGAGATGTGATACCAACTAAATTTGGACCATTGAGATTTGATACGAATGAAATTTCACAGTATTTCGCCTAATGTTCTTCGGTTAGTTAATAAATCATATCCCTAAGCTTGATATTTGAATCGTTTATTTAATAATATACTTTATTATAATTGAACAACGTTCCATTTAGAAATTAATTGATGACATTACGTAGGTTTGTAATTGGAGCGTACTTTCTTATCTTATAGCGGCTAATGCTTTCTCCACTTTGGTTTCACGCAACAATATCGAAGAATTTCCTAATGGACAATTTCATTGATATTCCAACGAAATAATAAGAATTGTATGTTGAAAAGATACGCACTCCCACTCCTCCCCATCCCACCTCCGCCCTAATAAACATATTTATTAATTAATACATAGTCGATGAATATTAATGCAACCAGATATTTTTTTTAATATATATAGATATTGACAGATGTAGACATAAGTAGGCGTACGAGTATCCCTAATTACAGTAAATATAGGGGATAAGCCGACGTTATGAAAGAAGGACGTTAAATCCGACATATATAATATATATTAGGCTACAATTAAAAGCTTAAATACTATCTCTCTCTCTCTCTCTCTCTCTCTCTCTATCTATCTATCTATCTATCTATCTCTCTACCTATCTATCTGTCTATCCTATTGTATAATAAGCAGTGGTATGTATCACTTTAAAATTACTGGGCGATTCTAATAAAAGGTTGTCACGGCATCTTCTCTTTATACTCAGATGTCCGTCAAGATTTACCATTTAATCGCGCGTCTATTTGTGCTTGAAATAACTGTATTACCGTTTTCGCATGTTTAATATTCCGTTGAGCGAATTTCGCGTAGATCCGTAGGTATTCTGTTTTACTTCGGATGCCACATTTAGAAGCGCATCCACGTCTTACTATTATATAAATAAAAGAATTTACGCCTCTTGAGGATAGGCAAATAATTGTTATATTATTTAATCGGAAAATATAGACAATAAGATATTTTATTTCTTATTATCGCATTATTAACTTGTTTATCACTCGTATAAATAGCATATTGATTTAAATGTGCAAAATTCCAAATTGGAAATGAGCTCCTGTGCAAATTTTGCATCGTTTAAGTGACGCAATATTCATAGAAATTATTAATTTATTTTAATCGAGGCTCATTTTCAGAATCGACAATCATTACAATTTAGTATCATTTATTATTTATTGTTTTCTTTTTTTCTCATTTCTTCTTCTCTTCTCTTCTCTTCTCTTCTTTTCTTTTCTCTCTCTCTCTCTCTCTCTCTCTCTCTCTCTATCTCTCTCATAAATAAAAATCAATGATGATAAGCAAGAAAAGACGTAAAATGACGAGTATACTCAACAAAGTACTCTACAAAGTACTCTATAAAAGTGATTTTATATTGAAAACCAATGGAACAAAGAGAAATATAAAATTTAATACTCCATATTAACGACAATGAGTTTTCTTTTTTTGTTGAGTAAATGAACGATGAGTCCACGACAAGATGTTTTATACGCATATTCGTAGATCTGAAGGATATTCTACAATGGTGAAAGGACGAAAGAAAAAAGGCAAAAGAAAAATAAAGCAACTTTCATTTTGTTAATTACAATTCAATTTAAATTACATGTATAATTTTTTGTTAGCATTAGTTTGTCTTATTATTAAGAATTCAAGATATTGTAAATCTATAAAATGTCACAATCTTCAGGACGAATGACTAAATAAACGAGTGCGATCATTCTATTTGCAATTGTACTTTCCCAACATTATTACAATGCGAAATATCAATTATATTCAATGTAGTATGAGAATTGCAGCATAGCTTGCCGTATTTACGCTTTTTTAATTATCAATTACAGTATAATTAAATTTAGCGTTCAGAGTTACTTCCACGTAGGCGGAAATTTTAAGGAAAAGTCCGACTTACAGGATCACCGGCTCAACGGCTCCTCCAATCCCTGTAATAATTCTCTAATTCCTGATTATAGTTATGAGCTAGTTAATTTAAGATTATTTACGATAATGTAGGATAACTTAGGATAACGGAAGACGTTGCCAACGGGGATGAAGAACGGGGATGACGAATGGATCGACGGCGACGGCGTATCTCTCATGTAAAATTTCGGTGGCGGCGATGGCGGCGATGGCGGCGACGATGGCGACCTCGTCGGCGTGCAGGTCCCTCTCGTCCCCCTCCCCAACCCACGAGGGTCGAAAATCGTAGTCGAGTCGCCACGTCGAAAGCCACTATAACGTAAGGCGCAAAAGCAGGAAAAAGGAGTGACACTCCCGTGGATGAGCATCAGCAATGGCAGTCGTCATCTCCGCGAACTCTTGGCAGCCTACAGTATTTGCAAAATTTGGCAGCTGCTTACCGCTCCGAGTCGCCCCCGCGCAAATCTAGCACTCGGCGGAGGAGGAAGAGGAGGGTAGGATGGGTGATGGAGGAAGGGGCGGAGGGAGGGAGGGAGGGAGGGAGGGCGTGTATGCGCGCGCGCGCGCGCGTGTGTGTGTGTGTGTGTAAAGAGGCGGATCCGCGCGCGTCCAGACGCCCGTGAAATCGCTCTCTCACCTCCCCCCCCCGCCGCCTACCGCTCGCCGTCATCCCCCTTTAAATCGCGGGGACGTTATCCCGTGCACCACTAGACGAACTATTTTCAGCGGAGTTTTATAATCGCGAACCTTGAGCCACGGGCACGCGCGAATATCTCGTTATGCCGGTCGGTCGTTTTGCGTTACGCTTGATTTATCTGTAAATTGCAGCCGAGTAGTAATGCGTGGGCGGGCGGGTAGACGCGCGCGTATATAACACACGGACGTTGGTCGTTTCAACGAGCGCGTTGATATAATTATCGATAAGCGAGCTGCACTCGTGCTCTCCCACCACCTCCTGTTCCATTTATATATATATATATATATATTGCTCATTATCGTTATATTTATTAGTGCAATCAGGAGCAGGCAAATTGATTTCCTACTCTTTTGATTAAGAAGCATTTTGTCATAGACTGCCGATAAAATAGCGATCATCCGAAAATATAATGATTATTCTTAAATTTAGGATTATTTTGTAGGTGGACTTATGGCCTGCAAATGTTTTTCAGCAAATGTAATGGTAAAATATGCATTGCAACTATTTCTGTCTTTGTAGATATGAGTGACACAAATAGTTTTTGTTGCGAAAATTATATTTAAACGTACCTTGAAATACATATACTGTCTGCTGCGTACATACGGTGCACTTTTTTCTTTCTTTTTTCTTGTTTTTAAGATAGAATTGCACGCAACGACCATAAGTCTACAAAATCGTACTTTGTAGCTGCAACTTTGAACGATTAAAAACTAAAATTACAGCTGGTTCAACAAACTTTTCCCCACTGACAGTTTATATTTAATATTTAATATTAAATATTTAATATTTATTTTCGATAAGTATTTCAAGTATTCTTCACCACCTCGTATTTATAAAAATAATTTCGTTTCATTTATCTTCCCATTTTTTTTTTTTTTTTTTTTTTTTTTTTTTTTTGATGGATTTTTAATTTGGCATTCTAATTTTTACTTCACAATAAAGTGTATTATATTTTTGTTATTACTGTCAAGGAAGACATTATCATAATTTATACGACTTTTAATGTTTTCGCAATAAAATCTAGGAGTGCGCAATTAAAGAAATAAATTGCTTCTGTTTATAGCACTTTGTATGTGTGAAGCGAAATAATTATATTCTTACATTGAATATTCGCTGATTGTCGCTTCGATATATAAAGCTAAAACTCTCAAATTTGAAATATTATTTGGAAAATAGTTTTATAATGAATTATACTTTAAATGAAATAAAATAATTAATTTTCTTTTTTCACTTAACTATTTTATTTTCAACCATTTTATTATCTCGTGTCTCGTGTCTCGTGTCCAAGTCTTTCCAACTGATGGTTTTACCATTTTTCTATTCTTCCCTTAGAAAATGTGCAGCTTTCGAGTTCATTAGCGAGATATCGTAAATTATTAGCATTAGTAGGATTAGAGCCGAAGCAGAGCAAAATTATATGTCATGAAGGTTTATTATTAATAGAATTTTCATCACTCAATTTCATGAAATTACGCGAAAATTCAAGCCATACGATAAGCATAATCCATCGTAAATTCAATGGCGGAGACTTGCAATGATTATAAATATAATTTACACTCATATAATTAATCGATAAAATTAAATGCAATTATTAAATATTTATTTTACGTATCCTGTAGTCACACGTACTAGGTAATATTTAAGGGGGTAATATTTCAAAGGGACGTAAAGTGCTCGCACACATGTATATTTTCACCTCGATAAGACGACATTCAAATTACCGTTCACAGCTCGTCGGGACAAGGGGATGAAAAAAACGCGACGAAGTCGCAAGTCGCAATGCTGCGTGAGCATATTTGGTCTCGGCATCGTCTAATTGGATGTTAAAAATCCAACGATAATGAGAGCCGCGACAGCCGTTGGCTCGTTATTAAATTACGGCTCATTATACTCGGTGACGACTGGTACGCGTCGGCGATCAAATAATCGTGAGGCCGAGGTCGGCAACATCGTAAGCCATAATAACGAATTTCGATTGGGAAAGGAGCCGAGGGTGTCTCTAGGTATTCGAATCCCGTTGTTCGTCTGCCGTTGGTCTTTGGATTGGAGGGGTGAGGATGATTATCGCAAAGGAGTCATGACCGCTCCGGCGGCGAGTTTATAACATATTTCATTTTTCGCCGTCACCGTCAACGCCAACGCCAACGCCAACGCCAACGCCAACGCCAACGACGACTATTTTCGCCCATAATTCGCGCCTCGTGCCTCTTTCTAGCTGCTTTGGCCCGCGCGTCTTTATACGGGAGGGCAGAAGCCACAGCACCTCAGGTGTCCACCGTCCGCCGTGCGAATTATCACTCGAAATGGTGAGCAGCACCCGTCCAAAAGCACACGCGACCCTCCCACAATCCACTCTGCGATCCTTCGTTTCATCCTACCGCACCATCCTTCCCAGGCTCTACAAACTCAACTCGGCTTTTGAAAAGTCCTCCGAACGACTTGTTACAATTGGCGAGGGAAGATTCATTCCCCTACTCCTCCCCGCCCCGACCACCCCAATCCCACGAAACAATGTGCTTTAACCCCGTTTAACACTGGACACGCGTCCGGCTTACCTTTTTCGCTATCCTCGCCATATTTAATCCATCGTTCGCTCTATGCTACGCTAACCAATTACCAAGGCTTCCGTACTGCCAGCTCTACTCCTGCTCAAAGCAAAACAAGTTTTAGTAATAAAACATCGGTGTAACGTCATTGCCGGCTCATTACGAAAAACCCCTTGCACTTTACGGAATGTTACATTAATCATTAATTACAGTAATTTAGCCAATCGTTACTAGTCAACCAGTAAATTGTCCAATACCGAAACATCAATCGCTCGATACCACCCTCTTTCGTCTTTTATTATATAAAGTGTCGATCGTTCGATCGAGACGTTTATCTAGCCATCGAGACAAAGAGAGAAAAAAGAAACAGTTCCCGAGCAAGGCTAAAATTATTAAAATTACATATTACAATTTGTTCTTTAATTTTATTCTATTATTATTTATGATAAGGATTTGATCGATGACAAATTTAAGTATAATTCACACTCCACGAACGCATATTAATTCCTCCATTAACAAAAATATCAATTCCACCGGCAATCATAGTAACATATCATATAATCGTAATAATGAATTATAATAATAATAATAATAATAATAATGCATTTTTAATTGTTAACGCACTCGGCACTGCTCGCTGGGTCACACCCATTGTGCAGTTAAACGATCATTATTGGCACGGGTAGCGGCCGTAATTGCTGATCGATGTACTTTTCATTTGCAGCTACATTTCTCTGTCGCTTTATCCAAGTCATTTTTCACGACTCGCTGTTAATTTTGCAACTAAAAGAAGCGATTAATTAGCGAGCGACTGCCATCGGCCGTTGGCAGACCGACAGCCGAGAGCATGATCTTACTGATAATCATGATCTTGTTCATAATTTACGTTCTGCTGTTTTACACGTGATAATGCGCCCGCGACGAGTTTAAGCGATGGGCAAAAAAAGAAAATAATAAAAAAAAAAAAATGAAAAAAAAAGCTGAGTAACGACCACCATGACCACTAGGAGGAGGACGAGCAGAAGATGGCGGTGATGCGCAAGGCATTCCAGATGTTTGACACGAGCAAGAGCGGCTTCATCGACACAATCAAGATCTCGACGATTCTGAACACCATGGGCCAGCTGTTCGACGATTCCGAGCTGAACGCCATCATCGAGGAGAACGACTCGGACGGGACGGGCAAGGTCAATTTCGATGGCTTCTGCCGGATCGCGGGTCGTTTCCTCGAGGAGGAAGACTCCGAGGCAATGCAAGAGGAGCTCAAGGAGGCCTTTAGATTGTACGACAGGGAGGGCAATGGATACATCACCACGGCAACCCTCAAGGAGATCCTCGCGGCCCTCGATGATAAGCTCACCAATACCGACCTCGATGGCATCATCGCCGAGATCGACACAGACGGCTCCGGCACCGTGGACTTTGACGGTTCGTTTACATTAACATTTTACGCCGCGGCCTCCAACACCCGCATTCCTCTTTCGGCTTGCACGAAATTATTAATTGATCGCGAAAAATAGACCAGACATTACACGCACGCACACACATGCACAGTATTTTCAAACGTATTTTCGAAACACGATCTGCTTATCTAACCAGCGCACATTCCATCCTTCGCTAGCTCCTTCGCTAATATCGCTATCGGACCTCCATTAACTCTTTATTAATCATCGTCACGATAACATTCGTTAAAAAGTTTCAAACAAAATAACTCGTCTCAAAAATATCATTATTTCCTATCGATCTTAAATAATAAATCCGAACTGTTAAATCAACTGCAATTTTCTCTCCCTCTCTCCCTCGCTCTCTCTCTCTCTCTCTCTCTCTCTCTCTCTCTCTCTCTCTCTCTCTCTCTCTCTCTCTCTCTCTCTCTCTCTCTCTCTCTCTCTCTCTCTCTCTCTCTCTCTCTCTCTCTCTCCCTCTCTCTACCTCTCTCTACCTCTCTCCCTCTCTCTCTCTACCTCTCTCTACCTCTCTCTACCTCGCTGCAAAAATTAATTTCCACTAGATTTTCGATCACTAATAATAATTAGAGAAGAGAAAAAAATTAATTTCCACTAGATTTTCGATCACTAATAATAATTAGAGAAGAGAAACACTTTATGAAAATTTATTGAGCTTAACTATTAATAATATCGAAATAGGAATTTTTTTTATACTTAAAGTTCTCACATTATAATCATTTTTCTTTACATTTATGCATTATTTTTGAAAATTTACATTTGACTTTATTTCGTTAAATCGCTCGGTAAATACGTTGCCGAGCAATTTATTTCATTTCACCGACAATCTGTCGTTTACATTTTAGTTTAATAGCCCAAGCTTATATATTACGGCCTATCGATTAAATTTGTAACGAATACTTCACCCAAGTTAGTGTGAAATTGTGATAATTGTGAAAAAAGAGAATAAGTGCGCAATGCAAATGATAACAAAAAAAAAAAAAAAAAAAAAACAAAAAAAAGTTAGATTATATATTAAAAAGTGTATATATTAATAATATCTTGCAAAAATTATAATCATTAAAGATCATTCAATTTTCTTATAAATGTTAAATGCACGTTTATTTATTTATTTTATTTTATTTTATTATTTTTTTTTTTTTTTATTAATATCAGTACGATGTATCTGTGCAATTGGAATTATTTAAAATCATCTATTACTCATTGAATTCGGTACACCCGATAATTTTAGTAAAATTATTTCATAAAATTTTTGTTTTTTTATTTTTTATTAGTAATTAAGAAATTAGATATAGTAAGTTGTCGACATATAAAATTCAAAGAATAAAAAATTTAATATATTTAATACCCTCGATGAGTCACTAGTGCATATTATGTTTATATTAATATACAAAATTCTTCTGTATTAATTAAAAGCTGTGGACTCTATATTGTTTTGTGTAAATTTTTTTTTTTTTTTTTTTTTTTTTTTTTTTTTTTTTTTTACTAACCTATTCATTAAGTTATAGTATGTTTTATATTATTCAATTGCACCTATGCGCACAATACACAATGCTTATTATGTTTAACGAATTTCTTTGCCTATGAAATTTCAATGTCAAATCGTTTCTCCGTATTTGTGATTAAATGATTTTTATTTCATTTATTTATTTATTTATTTATTTCAATCGCGTTATAAATATTTTAAATCGTTTCCTTATTAAATTAGCCTACTAGACTGTGAGTATATGTCGTTGGTTTCAGAATTCATGGAGATGATGACTGGAGAATAAATGGACCTAAATCGTTGAATAATCATTGAAATGGATCATTGTCCGTCTTGGAGGAGAAGCAAGCAATTATCGATGAAATTCTACTATTATCACGGCTTATCACAATCAACGTCAATTTATTAAAATGCTAAGGGACTCTCGATTATCATCCGAAATCCGAAAAATATCTTGAAAAATTAGAAATTAGAGGCTCCTTTTTTAGAGGCAAACTCGAAAAAAGTGCCTCAGCCTCTACTCACACACTTGTCATCTTATTAATAAAAAGAGAGCAGAGTATTTTGTAATTAGATAGGGGTGTAAATTTAATAACGACCCCCGTCCCCCGTCAGCATTAGGTAAAGTCAAACAAAACACTCAACAACGTATGATGTACGCTCAAATTATTAATTGTTTTATTATTATTTTGCTTCTACATCGTCAACGTAGAATCCGTTGTCGTGGCAAACGAAATGGCGCATTCATGTACATTTAATTAAAACGCAAAAACAAGAGCGGAGTCACTCGTCTCCCGAGCGATCTGTTTTTTTTTTCTATCAAAACGATTAGAAGAAGAAAATATATTAGAAGCACTCGGTGCTCAACGAATTAGTGCTCGTAGGGGATGAAGTCGTCGCTGTGGTAGACGACGACGTCTTTTACGTAGAAGTTCCGGGCGTAAAAGGCGCTGGTCGCCATCGGCCTGTCGAACGGGTAGCCGAGGGCTCTGCCGTCCAGGGATACGAATCCACCGATGATGTCGCTAATGTGCTTGCTCTGGTAGTAATGGTGGAGGTGCTCGTCGTGTCCTCTGTAGCCTTGGTACGTGCCGGTCTGGTAGCTGCCGAAGTATCCGCTGGCGCTCGGGTGATGCGCGCTTCCGTAGTACTCGGGTTTGTGTCCTTGTACGTGCTCCGCGCCCTGTCCCTCAATGTTCTGCTGCTGGCCGTATCCGTAGCCCGTGTAGTCGACCATCTGCTTGTGTCCGTGATGCGGCTGCTCGGGGTGCACGCCGACGCCGTGGCCGACGCTTTCGGCACCGCTGCCGTGTCCGACTCCGTGGCCAATGCCATGCGAGCCGAAGTACTCAGGGACGAACATACGCTTCTCGTGGCTTTCGCCCTCGTGGTGAACTCCAGTGTGCTCGTCACCGTGGATGCTGTAGTAGGTTTGCTGCCAGTGCGGATAGGCGTAGCTTCCCGGGTATTTCTTGTAGAGGTAGCCCCAGTGCCAGTTGCCTAGTTCAGAATATTGCCGATACTTTTGTCGCGGTATCGTGAAAGTCAAGGGCTCCCGTGGATCGCGTGACAAACAAACAAGACAAGACAAAAGAAAATGTCCACGTACGTTGGCCGGCCGGATTATCCTGTAGTTTACCGACATTTCGTAATGCCACCGCGCGTAACTTTAATATTGATACGTATTTTCATTCATTTTTATTTGTATGTACATTTATAGAAAATCATTCGTAATAGTAAAGAGATAATTATAATGATAATATTAATTAATAATGAAGAAAAATCGACATTTACAATGATTGATTGCCTATGTAGGGCCGTGATGACTTTTCGACTAACATAATTGAAAATTCTCTTACGAAACGTGGCATTTTCAAATTTCTAAATTATCTGCTTATCCAATGTCGTTTGACATCACGAGCCTCGGAGCGATTAGCAAGCGTCTGGAAGAAAACAATCGATACAATACCTTCGGTTATGATTTGACCCTCGAATTCTGGAATTACTTCAACGGTTTGGCTTCCGCCGTGGACGCTGTCGACGGGAAATCTGCTGAATTGGCTGTATTCCTGGGAATCAACGATTTGGTAATGCTGTGACTGGTAGTTCATGAATTCGTCTTGAACAATGGGTCCGTAATGCTCGGGATGATGCCGAACTCCGGATGAAACAATGACGACAAACTGTAGGGGGAATCCGCTTTGCGATCCCTTGGGTAAGCTTAATCTAGCGGGGAATGAGAACAGCTGTTGTGGCTGAAAATATTTAAAAATCCCAACGCATGGCTTTATTAATAATTAATTGAGAGCGAGAGATAGAAACGAATTGATAATTCATACCTCGATTACATAGTGCGGATTTTGGGATCGGATGGCGCCTTCGACACGTTCTTTGATTTGGTGTATCGACGGCCAGTCGTAGCTCTGTCCAGTGGCTTGATGCGAGTTCCTCACAATAGTGTTGTGTCCCTCGACAACTATTAAAAATGTCCAAATGAGATGAATATTGTTGGCTATTTGGGTAATGTTAAAATGTTGAAATCGCATCGCTCGGATGCTCAAAAGAGAAACTGACGTATTGCTTGGTTGAAAAGAAATGGAAAAGAAGAAGAAGAAGAAGAAGAAGAAGAAGAAGAAGATGATGATGATGATGATGATGATGAAGAAGAAGAAAGAAAGAAAGAAAGTAAGAAAGAAAGAAAGAAAGTAAGAAAGAAAGTAAGAAAGAAAGAAATAAAGAAGCAAACTTTTAAATAAAGAAAAGCAACACGAAGAGAAACGCTTACGGTCATAAACGAACTGATCGAGTTCGAAGAAGTAGTGCCTGTGCTCGTTAATGTCGATGTGCTGTCCGTTGTAGTTGTATTTAGGTCCTACGAAGACGCGAACAACCGAGTTGGGAACGGCGTTCTGGGCCTGCACGTGAATGGTGTATTCGTATTGCTTGTGATCGAGCCTCTTGAGGTGTGCGCGAACGCTGCCCGAGGGCTTGTAGTTGTGTGAAATTGGATGGGGCACGGCGTTGGTAAGGTCGACCTCGCTGTCGCTAAAGTACGTTATCAGATCGCCAACTTCGACTTTCTCGATGTGGACTCCCGGCATAGCAATGTCGTTGTATTGGTAAGCGGGGAGGGCTTGCTGGTAGTAATGGAAGAACTCGAGGACTTTGGAGAACAATTGGTAGAAGATCGGATCGCGGACGGCTGTCAGTCCAAATTCAAGAGCGGACGGACTGTACTCCCAGATGTTGTTGAATCCCGGGACATTACCGAGCAAACTCTTGGTTATGGCTTGGAAGGATCCGTAGTATCTTGGGTTGACGCTACGGCCAGTTCCTTCGATGAGCTCGCCGAGAATGTTGAGACCCTGGGGTTGGTAAAGGGAGAGGAATGTGCCCTGAGGTGTCATCACGTGGCCAAGATCGATAGCCTCGACAATTCGCTTCTCCAATTGGCGTACGAGCCTCAGTAGCTCGTAGTTGTGGTGCTTGGGCGTGACGTAGATGTGCTCGTTACGGGCTGGGAAGTCCATGCCGTTTAAGTAACGAAGATGGCTGTTGAATGGGGTTTCGATGTGTTCGTAATAAGAGTCCAATTCGGGAATGGGACCGAGACCTTGTCCGAGACGTTCAAGATTGTATCGAGCGAGCAGCTGTTGATGAACATAATAGTAGTGGGAGCCATGGCCGTTGGTACTGTATTGGCTTTCGTCGCTTCCTTGCTGGAAACCAGCGTGTCCTCCGAACTTCTGAGCATTGTGCGATCCCTAATCGTATGTAATTGGAACAACAACGGTGTAAAAGGCGGGTAAGTATTTTATATTAAAGAATAGAAGAAGTCGTTGAGTGTGGAGGGGGTAACGTACATGAGGTAAGATGTAGGAAGCCAACTCGACTAAACCGTAATAGGCATTCAAGCCAATATCCTCGGTGAAGTAGGCGATTTCGTTCTCGCCGTAAGGTAAGGAAGATGTGTAATTAACGTAAATGTGGTGTACGCCGTGTCCCTGTTCGCCTTGATCTTGGCTCTCGAAACTGTGCTGAGATACGTGGTTGTACACCTTCTGGATGATTCTCGTGTCGAAGAAGTAGTTGGGAAAGATTTCGTACGGTGCGGGTATGATGATGCCGTACATGTCGTGACGCTGATAAATAGCTGTAACGAACGCCTGGCAAAGCAAATAGAGTCGCATTTTATTAATTACTTTCGTTAATTCTCGCGGGCATTGGCATTGGAGTGCAAGCAAATTGAAATTAGCAGCCAATTTTCATTCTTTCATTGATAATGTTATAAGTGAGGAGTGATGGGCCAACCTTCCAGAATTGTTCTTGGTTAACGTGGACACGGGCCCAGGCAGCGGTTGAGAGGAAAGTCTGGTAGTCCTTGGCACCAACGAGGACTTGCGTGAGGAGAGCAAATTCCTTGCGCAGGGTGCTGACCGAGAAGGAAAACGGCGTCCCCTTCGGTTGCACATGTCCGCTCTTTACGAGTTGAACGTAGTACATGACCACCGACGGATTTTCGTAATTGTGCAAGTTTTCTTGGAAATTGTAGGACGAACCAATTTCGTAGAGGTGATGGTAAGGCACTTCCTCGGCAATGTTTTCGAGCAGGTGAATAACATTTTGCTGCTTGCTCAGAAGGTCCTGATCGGCTATTATTTGGAGAAAGATATGAGTTTAGAGAAAATTCATTTCTTTTGTAGGAATAGAGAAGTTTGCTTAACGCGCCCCTTCCCTCTTAGATCTCAAGCTTTATTTTAAAATTTGTTATTTAAGACTTAGACATTATTGGATCTCCAAGATTTCTTACGACTTGGATGTAAAAAAGAAAAACTTATCAATTACGTGTTTTAATAATGGAATTTTTCATTTGCTTGATAAATAAGGTTCCTTTCCTTTTCTTTTTCTTTTTTTCTTTTTTTTTTTCTTGTTTTTGTTCTTTTGTTCTTTTGTTTTTTGTTTTTGTTCTTTTGTGTTTTGTTTTTGTTTTTGTTCTTTTGTTTTTGCCCCCAATAAAATGTCGCTAGCTTTTCATTGTCGATGCGTGCGATTAAGCACTAAAGCTCTGTACAACATTTATTTTTTGCTGCCTACGTGCATTCGTTTACTACGCGATCGTTTATTATTTTGTACGCGCGCACGCGCCTGCGTGTATTACAATTAATCCCTATTAATAATAATTGTTTATCACAAATTTTGCTGAAATTATTATTGAAAAGAATTGATTTTATACTGTATGGCCGAGTATAATAGAGGTGGCGCGGGCACTCAATGTTTGTAAAAATCATTTGTCTGATTTCACGAAAGGCCGCGAGGATAATTTCAGTGCAAGCATTTGGCTCGAAAAATGCCGATCTACGTTGCTAGAATTTCTCCATTTAATATTTCAATGCACTATTGTTAATAGCCGATTGCGCGACAAGACGGAAATTTTAAATAATTTATATTTTTAATATCTATGCGGCATTTTAACACTCTATACATAAATATAGTACGATTACTTTTATTTTTTCCTAATTATTGCTCATATCTGACTATTGATAAATCAATCATTTTATACTATTATAATATAAATTGAAAGAATTAATAAGCGATAAGTGTAAATAATAGGTAAATAATAATTAGGAAGAAAGTTATAAGGATGATTTTTGGGTTTTGCCCGGACGGGTGGGCGACTGCGGGAGGTGGGAGGGGAATGGGGAGGGGGAGGGGAGGGGGGGAGAGACGAGAGGGAAGCAGGTAGTATGGAGATTTCAAATATAAACACGAGTTTGTTGAGAGTTGAGAGGTCATTCGATATGGCTAATAATGTTGCACTCTATCCCTTTAATGACAGTTTATACATTATAATAAGATTTATTTCAATAAATAATAATGAATAGTAATACCGACAGTTAAGGGGAACAAATTCAAAAGTCAATGAAAATAAAATCTAAATCGTTATATTCAATTTACTTAAAATAATATTACTTTTAAAGAAATGAAGCAACGATTTCAAATTATAACAACATTCTGCATACGTGTGCGTAAGTAAAATTTTTAACTAATTTTTAACTAATGATAGTCATGTAATAATTGCGAGAGACATCTTTCTTCTTTCATAGTTTGAATTAACGAATTAATGAGAAAAATCACGATGCAATTAACGAACGAAATAGGGTTTTTGTATCAATACTATTGGGTAATAAAAGCTTTCATAATATACTCTTATTAGTACTTTAATACGTAAATTAAGCGACATTGCTGTATCGTTAGACTAGAATAAACTTTTCGTGAGTACGCTTTAAATTAACAATTAACATTACAATTCATTAATATGCTTGTGTATGTATGTGTATATATATTAATATATATATATATATATATATATATGACTTTTCACCGCATATTTTCGCAATCTTAGATCCTTCGGAGTATCGATTACAATAAGGCCGAATAAGAGGACTTGCCTTGGACAAGTAAATCTTATAATCGTGAAGCATCGATCAACGAGTCGCGTAACACGAGCAAATTATCCCAAATAATATGAATATTAAGAGTGATGGTACTTACCAGCATGGGGTGATGGTAATGTGGGTATTGCTGCCGCAAGGGCTAACAAAGTCAAAAACACTATGCTCAAACGCATTGTGGTACAAGTGCTGCGCATGAGTTCTGACGACGGACCCGGGCCTTTTATACCAAATTCGTATCATTATCGTTGAAGACAACGCGACGACCTTTTGAACCGATATGCTCGAGCCCCAACGCTGAACTTCGTACACGAATGATTAAACGGTGATAAAATTTTGCCATCTATTATATCTGCTTATATAATTCATGTGTTGAGGTATGGATGTTTAAGAGGCATATTTCAGGACTACCGAGTGCCCGATCGTTTTCTATGATGAATATAATTGTGAATAAGCCACTATGGATGGACACAAAGTTAAGCATTTTCTAATTACATCTTAGTAAGAGAGAGAGAGAGAGAGAGAGAGAGAGAGAGAGAGAGAGAGAGAGAGAGAAAGAGTACAATTGTACAATAAAAAAGCAAATTTCGTTTTAAAATTTCATTCTACGCATGTGAATTGAATAAATTAATAGCACAAGCTAATTTTTAAAATTATATATTAAGACGCTTTGAATCTCGGCTAATTATGTTTTCTGCGTACTTGCTAATCACTGCAATACGAATTTCATGTTATTCGTAATTGTAATATATATGTCTGATATTTAAAAAAAAAAAAAAAAAAAAAAACCGATTAAAACATTAATATTGATAGCCGTTGAAGAATGAAAGACTTTATTATGTCTTTCAAAAGCTCCGTATTCTACGCTTATTTCACTTCATCAACAAATTATAATTACCTACATCGTAATAATGGACAATAATTAAAAATCAAGTTAATTCGTTCTTTAAGAAATAGTATTTATTATAAAAACAGCTTATCTTATAAAATACTTAATTTTTTGTCAAACTATTCAATCACCGATTTAAGGACGTACATTAGCGTTAGCCTATGAAAGAAGATATACAAAAAAAAAATTGTTTTAACAATAATTGATGAGGATAACGAATTTATTAAATGTAAAAAATAAAAATTTCTTATATATTAAATATGAGCAAATATTTCATAAATGAATAATATTTATAACTATTTGATTAGATAATAATTACCCAAGAAAACTCTATAAACGATATTTTATAAATGAATATGCTATTATAAAATAAAAATAATAATAAATAAAACGAGATCTACGGATTATTTTTTTGTTATTTTGAAAAATATTAACGACCCAGGGTATATACTTCTTCGTTAAAAAAAAAAAAAAAATCGTTAAAAAAACAATATGTTTTTCAATTAGTATGGCTTTGAATATATAATTTTTCATTATAAATTCTCATCAAAAATGAAAAATATTCCTTCTAATATATCTTATAAAATATTTTGAAGAAAATTTTCAATAAAAAATTTCGTAATTATATTTTACAATTCTGCTTATATATAATTAATAAATATTTTACTATTTATTATCACTTTGTTAAAAACGATTAAATTTCAAAAATTGTAGCTAACATCTCAAATTTATGCACACAAATTAACAAGAAAATTTACATAGAAATTATCATGAAATATATTTTAATAATGTTATAATAAAAATTTATAATAAAGAATGTTGTATTGATTAATGAAATCATATTTTAATGAATATGGAAAGATTTATCAAATTTATGCTCGTACGACGTTCATTCATTTTTTTATATTATGAATTAATATTATTTTAACGATTTTGAAATCATTACGTAAGTATAAATTAAAAAATCTATAAATAATTTTTAATTATTCTTAATGATAATTAAAACCATTTCGTCGTAATCAATTGATAAAATGACATTTTTTTAATATCATCGAAATGATATTAATTTAATACCTAATGGTTGTACATAAACAAAGTATATTACGATTCATTTATTGATACAATTTTTAAACTAAAAATTAATTTTTTCATGCAAAATATTTTTTTAATTAAATGTGTGTGTGTCTCACAAAATCATACATAACGTATCAATAACATATTTAGCTTTTTGTAATATGAATAATATTTTCAATATTAATTTTACAGTTTTTGGTTCACTTCTTTTTTAATAAAGTTAATCATTTAAATAAATAAATAAATTAGTTAAAATTCATATTATCTTATAATTAAAAAAAAAAAAAAATCAAACCAATTGTGTAATATTAATTTTTCTGAAAATCCTTCACTTACTTATCACAAACACACGCATTTCAAACGAATTAGTTGCCAGGAAAATTATAATTAATTTCATTATTTTATATAAATTAAATTTTTATTTATATTCATATACGAATAAAATTTATTAAAAAATACTTTTGAATGAGACATAAGTTATATTTTGTAATCTTAAAAGATTTGTTCTTTTAATATTTATTTAATTTACGCATTAGAGATCATAAATAGTTAATATATCATCAATATTATAAATAATGATTAAATAAATTTGCATATCATATCAAATAGAAAATTAAATTTTATATCATTTATTTGATAAATACAAATTTTGAATAACAAAATTAATATTCATAAACATTGTTTAAATTTGAGATAAATTAAATGCTTTTCATTTAGAATCATAAAGTTATCAAAATTAAACTCAACTCGATATTAAAAACATGTTTTAGCACTCTACTGAATAAATTCTAATTTATATAATAGCTGACGAATTATTTAAAAAATGTAAAAAATGTCAAATGTCAAATATAATAAAAACGAAATTAGTAAAAGAATGTATAAAATTTATGTTTTTGATAATTATTAAAAATTATATATATATATATATATATATATATATATATATATTCATATTAAATAATGAATTTCTATTAGTTTGTATTTTAAAATAAAATAAAATGTATAATATGTTAATAATCATAAAAAAAAACCTCATTAATATTAATATTAAAATTCTTATAAAAAATTTATCAGTAATTTTTATTCTTTTACACATTTTGTATTTTCCAATTGGAAATTACTCCTTTATAACAGTTATATTATCTCGTATTAATTAATAATATACATATATATATATATATATATATATATATATATATAATATTTAAAAATATATTTAATTAATAAGCACATAACAATAATTATTAAATAATTAATAAACAATAAATATATAGATTTGCAGATAAAAGTAAGAGTCGCACATGAATGTGTACTGTGAAATATGTACTATCCATAAGAAAGATTTTTCCCTTGATATTGCAATTAATATTTTGTTTAATAACCATTTATGCTCTTACTATTTTTTATATAATAAATTATAAATATTGTTAATTTAGAGCAATGCTTATCTGTAAAGAAAGTTTATCTTTTAAAACATACAATTATATAGACTATTGATACATTATTATAGTTGATCATTGTAAATATAGTTGATTTATTGTTACTTAATTATATTATTATGTGTATAATAAAATAACTTTACCATTGTACAGAATAAAAATGTTTCATAATGTGTTGTTCATAATGTGTGTAATTAAAAGATGAAAAATAAAAAGAAAATACGTTTAGTGAATTTGAAGTTTTTGACAAGCAATAGAAATAAGATGCAACGTACTGATTAAAATATAATATATCAATTTTTAGGATAAATTAAAGAAATCGTTGATGAATTAAGCAGTAAACTACTTTGTTGCTAGTCACTGAACTATATAATAAGTAATGCAAAAATGTATACTTATGTTTTTGAAAATTTTTTAAAATTCATTAATGACGATATTTGAAATTACAATTAATTTATATAATTAATTTCAAATGAAAATATTTATAAATACCTTCGACTTTTATTAAAAATACTTATAATGATTAGACTCGATTAAATTATTGATTGAACTTATATTGAAAATCGATATCAATAAGATGAAATATTTTAAATATAAATAAGTATACAATTTTTGTATTGTATTTTAAATAAACTTGAGAATGTTATTTAAAATTCTATGATGCAAATAATTTCTTAACTTGAAAAGGTGAAAATCTACTATGATTTTAACTTTATGCGAGACTCACAAACTGTAAGTTGCATATTTTTCAATTTATATACGTAATTTAAATTTTTCTAATAATACTATAATATTTATATTTCAGTCTGATCGAAAAATTTATATGTATATATAAATATATATAGTAGTGAAATAAAATTTATAAATTTAAATTATTATTTTCAATTTATCATACGTTTATAAAAATTTGTATATATAGATTATATATACAGATTTAACTAACATTCGATCTCAATAAAATAAGAAAAAATTGTGAGTATGTTTAATTTCTATCGTGTATGTGAAAATTAATCGAATTAATGTAATTTGTATGACGTGAAAGAGTACGTAGCATTTGCCAACGTATAATAATTTTACATAACGTTGGAACAATGTTTCGTAATATAATTTATAATATTTCAATCATTATTCAAGGAATTTACACACAGATTTAGAGTACAATGTATTTAACTATAACACTTTCAATAATTTTATTACAGAAATTTTTTTATTTATATATATATATATATATATATATATATATATATAAGCATTAATACGTTTCACCGATTCTGAAATACAAAATCAGTCTTTCGGTTATCGAATTTTTCGCAAGAGAAAGATTGATAAATTTAAGCAGACTCCATGCAGGTGATTATGCGCAGTCGGGTTATCAGAATGATGTTTGTTTCATCATTTTATCCATTAACACGTATTTTTAAATACCAATTTTATAATACCATTTGAAGAAATGAAGTTTATACGTGTGTGCGTAGAGGAGCCGTATGACTTTTGAATGCATTAAATTGGAGTTAATTTATGTCACTTAACGTCCAGTCACTGACAGACAGCCACTTTTGATTTTCATTGAAATTTTTATCTTTTATAAAATTATTCACTTTATTCATATAAGTAATTGGAATATATCAATAATTACTAGCTAATTCAGTTTTCTTTCTAATTTTTCATATAATAGTTTTCCAATTGGTTTCAAAAGTAGCTCAACTATAAAATTAGATATACTAAAATAGCAATAATACTCGAAACATCGTGTGACAAAAGGACAAACGTGAAAAGATATGTAGAATTAATAAAACAAGCATTAATAAATAAAA